CGGTCACGCAGGGACGTTCCCAAAGCGATCTCGATGCAGCTCGAGTTCCTGAAGGGGAATCCACGATTGTCCCTTATTTTCCTTTTCTGAAATTGCAACTTGTCTCATTTGAAGGAATTTGTGTAAGGAGGTGTAAAGATGTAAAGGTGTAAAGGATGGCTTCCTTCCCCTCTGTGTGGATTCTGTGGAACTTAAACACCTCTAAATGCTCAACAGAAATGTCTTTGAATAGCTATAATGCTCAACACTTTAAACATTTTTGTATGAAGTATTGACTGTACTTTTGCCACACAACATAACATGGTGAGGACATTGATCTATATACTGATTGATCTATATATAGGCTGGCTTCAGTGACATGTTCAGATGGGGGCTGTAAGGGCCCCTTTTGCAATTAAACTGTTTTTGCTGTCAAAGGCCTTTTGAAGCAAAGCCTTTATTGTGAAGAAAAGTAGGCGTAACTACAGTAAACAGCAGCTGAGTTTCAATATGTGAGGCAAAGCGCTAAATATATGAATGTCACAAAATCACATTGTTTCTCTGAAACAGTGCAGAACACTGCACTCTGACCATAGTGGGATATTGCCAACATGATTCATTATATAACCTTTGGAACAGAACTGCAGGGAAATCAATCCCATAAGACTGAATTAACTTACGAACTACAACTACAGCTGACTTAAAATTAAAGATTTTTCTTTATATAAAACAGTACAAATTTATTTATTATTTATATAAATTATTATTTTTTTAGTTTTAGTTTTTTTAGTTTTTAAAAACTCAAATCTAGGCTAGGCTAAAAATAAATAGATAGGCTATGTAATACAATTTTATTGATAGTTGATTTTTTCATAATGACTCAGATTTGACGCATTTGATGTGGGTTGGGCCGCGGCCCAACTGGCTATACCAGTTCCGCGCTGTGACGGTACAGCAACAGATCTATGCAACTTCAAAACAAACAACAGACAGATCAGAAATTTGACTGTTTATCGATAAACTTATTTTCATCATGTTTTCACAGCACAAAACTCGATTGCTAAATCACATTTCTGATTACATGTGTTAATCTGTATAGTGACAGTCAAAATTTCATACGGTCCTTATGTGGCTTCTTGTTCAGCTGCTAGACCACCTATAAACATTTTATAGAATACATATATTTTTCAGTGTTTCGGATGCATTCATAGCACTAAAAATAGTGAAAAGGTCTGCCACTAAAGGAGTTATATTTCTATCCCCTTTTATCTCTTGTCTCTATGATCCATGAAGGGTTCTCACAGACCATTATGTGTATTTATTTTAAGATAATCCCCTTTGTTCTAATTAGTCTGTTACATGCATGCCTGTCTCTGCAGCTGGGTATTGTTTGGAGCATGGTGAAAGAGATGAAGGGAATGAAATAGGATAGTGACAATAATAGACAGTGTGGTTGCCATAGAATAGGTCATATAGGATCCATGCATTAAATGTAAAATGACAGCAACAAATATAATGGTATACACACATACACATTAGCTCTCATTTCATTAGATTTTTTTCATTCAAATCTAATGCACAAATCCAATATAATGATCCATTTATATACTCGTATATATATACACATAACTTATTGTGTATTTGACGTTTTAAATGCAATAAACCACACAAAGTAGTACTGAGTTATTTTTCTGGTCTTATTGAGCTTGAATGGTTTAAAATTATTTGCAGTTGGAGATGATAATGCAGAATGAGAGAAATGAGCTCTGACAGAATTCAGACATACTTTAATGCTGATTCAGTAGCAGTCTGAAAACCACCCATGTTTTAGATTGTTCCTCCACCATAATAACCGATCCTCCTGAATACAGTTGTGTAGCTGTTTTCTCTTTTTTGACATGGAGATTATTTGACTGCAGGCTATTGGAAATGAATTCCTGCAGAAAAATTAAGATTCCTTAAAATGCCTAGACACAAAACTAGAGAAAACATTCTATGTGATGTGGATACAATTCTCTGGCCGGGCAGAAATGAGAGGTTTGATGAATAAATTCAGTGCTTACAACATAATAGCTAACATGTTTGTGATATTTTTGAATTTTTACTGTAGTGAACAATCAAAAATTCCAATGCAATTGCTTAAAAATGTCCTAAAAACCAACAACCTTGTAAAGTAATTTACATCTCCGGTTAAATCTTTATCTTTATTTGGCATAATGCTTTTGTTTCTTATTCACAGACAGCAAGGTTTTTTTTTTTTTTTAATTAGACTTTATGGTGGGAGAATATTTCTTTTAGGCTGATAAAAAGCAGCCCTATTTGCAATTGTTAAAGACATTTTGTTGCATCACTTTCAAATTGCCCTCTGCTCTTTCATCATAACAGGAATCTTGGTCCACCTCATTCTTTACACATTTCAGCTTAACTGAAATATGTTTGTGAAGCCAACACCTTTTTGGCCTTTCTTGGTTTCCCGCTCATTACAAAAATGGTTCTGATTTAAATCTTGTATCAGATTAATCTTCCATGTAACACATTTAAGTGAAGCAGGACTAATGTCATATATCAGAATAATGTATTCAGCTAAACTGAAAAATTAACAATATTT